GTTGAGAAGTTAGAGGGTTGATATGTTGTGGGGTTGTTAACCAATGTTATAAAACAACATGTGTACTTCTGTTTCATAAGAAACTATTTGTTCTGTAAGCCTTCACCTGAAGTACAATTAAAAAAAAAAAAGAATTACCATATAGGATATAATGGGGATATTAGCAAAATTTGAGTACAGATTGCATATTAGATAATAGCATTCTATGAAGGTCAAATTTCCATAATTTGGAAACAGTACTATGGTTGTATAAGAAAATGTCCTTGTTCTTAAGAGGATGCATTTCAAAATATTTAGGAGTAAAGGGTACTGCAACTATCTCAAATAGTTCAGCAAAAAAAATAACAATAATAATGTGTGTGTATGGAGGGCAGGAGAGAGAAAAAGCAATTTTCACAAAAAGTTAACACTGGTAAATACAGATGAAAGGTAAGTACATGTTCAGTGTATTATTCTGGCAACTTTTCTGGAGGTTTGAAATTTTTTCAAAATAACAAAAAAGTCAAAAGAAAAAAACGGGCATAACTATGACATAAGTCTGTATATTGTTATCTTTGGGGCAGAGGGAAGACTGTGGATGTGGAGGACAGGCTTAAAGGGAACTGGCAATGTTCTATTTCTTAAACTGGGTAGAGATTATACAGATGTATATTTTTATTTTCTGTACTCGTCTACTACCGTACTTCAAAAATTTAAAATGTCTACATGCTCTGAGCTGAGCTATTCTTCACAGCATGTATCGTAATATTAACTGAGTATATGTATGGTTCTCTGTTTAACGTCTGTGTTCCTCCCTTAACTGAAAGTTTTATGTGGTTAGGGCCCATGTCTCTCTTATTTACCACCGTCTGGAACACAGTAAGCACTCATATTTGTTGAAGGAATGAATGAATAAATTATATAAATATCATTTCTAAGGAATCTATCATAAAGATATAATTAATGATGTGGTTGAAGATTTGTGAACAAGAATGTTCTGAGTGAAATCTTGGCAACAAGATTAACATTTAACTGGGGTTGGATAAGTAAATTATGGCCTTCTAATAGAAGGAAATACTGTGCAGTCATTGTACGGCATGTTTTCAAAGAATATTTAAAAATAGAAGGCAGGGAAAAGGCTTATGAATTTTTCATTTAAAAAAAATCAGGACATAAAACCCTAAATGTTATAATCCCAAATGTCATTTTAAAAAAATCAAATTTACATATTCTAATAAGGTTTGGAAACCAAAATGACATTAGTGATGCCACATCAGGATTGAGGGTTAGAGTGATTTTTATTCTTATTTATACTTCTTCCTATTTCTCCAATTATCTACCAAAAAACTGTAGTCTTTAGATAAGCAAAAAAGTTATTAAAAAATTCACTTGGGTATGGTCTTTACTTACCTAAGCTAGCCCTATATGATTATAAAAAATAATTAATAAATTATGGTACAATAAGATTAAATTAAATTTCCTTCAGCTATTTTAACTACCAAGAGACATTTATTGTTGGTATAAAAGAGAATAATCTTAACTCAAAACTGAATTTCAAAGAAAAAAGCAGAAACAGGCATTAAAGCAAAGGATTTTTTAAAAAAAGAAAACTGAGGCAATCATGTAGATAATTCAATGGCAAAAAAAAAAATTTTTTTTTCATCAGCTATGGGGCTTTGTTTTCAGCAAGTGTTTTTAGCCATCACTGCCTAATGAGTAGGTTTTTTTTTTCTTCTTTCTTAAGAAATCTTTTCCCAAATGCAATCTTACTCAAAACCCCAGACAAAACAGAAAAGTAAAGCTTTTCTGGCTAAAGCAAAGGCTAGGATCTCTGGAGCCAGCTCAGCCTCCCCAGAGCCCTTGGGAATCACTGCCATATAACATGGGGACTACAGAAAACATAGTTTAAAAAGCCAAAACAACGACCTTGAGCTGCTTCATCGATATGTGTAAATGACTTCTGACTCCAGTACCCAGACAAAGGAAAACACTTCCCCCCACACACCCTACCCTACACACCATGTATTGTACGGTTTGTGTGGAAAAATTCAGAACTAGTTCTCTTTACCTGGAGCGGTGGATCTTACTGGTGGGGTCTTCCTCTTGGCCAAGAAGTTTCTCAATTGTGCCTGTTTCACGGGGGACAGTTTAGCTGCAAGAAATTCATGAACTCATAAATGCTTAAGACTCGGTTTTTAAGATGTCAGTAGATGGAAAAGAACAAAGAGAGCTGAAAGATCAAGAAAAATACATTTACCTGGTATTCTGGGCAAGGGTTTGGTGTGAGATTCTATGGTGGTTTTCAATAAAGCATTGCGCAGGCTTTCAAGGTCACTGTCGAAACTGAAATAGGATAGTATTACATACCAACAAGCTATGATCTGAGAATTCCGAGGGTGTGGAGAGTACACTAGCTTCCCAAATATAAATGCAAGAGACAAGAGCAACCCCAATACAGAAACACGCCATCTAATCAATCAATGTAAGCAATCCAAAAAGAAAGCTAGCAAATCTCAGTATTATCCACCACCCCACACCAAACACAACACAGATGGTGATTCAGTAGAAACAGCGATTAAAATCTGTATGTTTGGCCTAAAGGCAAAAACACACCACCACCTTGACAAATGCCAGGGTCTGAAAGCTTCCACACTCAAGCAAAATGACAAATCTGGGCAGGAAAGACAAGTAAGTCAACCTAATCCTATCAGTTAACTTTCAGTAACAACACTACTATGACCATAGAATCTGCTATCACCTAACGACAACCTATTTCATCAGGCACAATACTTCGTGCTTTACAGACTTAATTCAACTCTCCAACAACTCCATGAGGCAGGTATTGTCACCCCCATTTTTTAAGCAAAGAAACAAAAGAGAGGATGAAGAACCTGACCAGGACCCCACAGGTGGCAGACAGCAGAGTCAGTCTCAAAGCTATATCTGAACTGGTCTAAGACTACCCTATGTTACTCCCCAAATATTCATTTATTCATTCAACCATATTTACTGAGTGCAAGTGATATTAACAGGCCCATTCTCCTCACAGACCTGTGAGTGCTGCTCTGGGAAGGAACAGCTGAGGGAAGATTCCACTGGGAGGTCTGGTTATAAAGACGGAGCTGCTGGAGACTGTCCACTAGGTGATTCAACCTCTTCCTCTGTTGGTTAATGATTTCCCGGTTGTTAGCAAGGGTGTTAAACAGTGTCTCTCGCTCTGGCACAAGCAGGCGTCTGTTAACAGTAATGAGAAAAGAATTTAAGACGAATGGTCTAAGTAAAGGAACCCTTCCACCAAATTAAAAAAAACAAAAAAACTTACATCTCTAACAGTGAAAAGAACAAAAAGAGAAACCAATAGTACATAAGAAATTAGGAGAAAAAGGGAATGAAAGCCTAATGAGGATAAAGCCTAATGAGGAATATGCAGGACAGGATCTGTAGCAAAGGACAGCATGAATTAGCCAGGCAAAGCCCCAGAGAGGATCCAGAAAAAACAGGGCAGGAGGGAGACGGGAGTCAAATACAGAGGGGAAAATACATCCATTTACGTACTTAGGATATGTGTACTTTCCCGTACGTAAATAACATGCAACAAAAAGGAAAAAAACCAGGGATTCACTGGAAGTCTACAGGAGTCAGTCATTTCTTCAGACCACTGTCAAGAAATAGTGGACTAAACACCCAACTGAGCGTTTGGGAGGTAAACCACCTAAAAGAACTAACACAGAAAGGGATAACTGTAGCTGTCTCTGGAAAGTAGTTGTGAGAGCAGAGAGGAATAGGTCAAGAAGCTTCTGCTTTTCATTATAAATCCTTGACTATCCTTTGATTTAAAAACAAATTTGACTGTATAAATTTGGTAAAAAAAAATTAAAAGGGAAAACTATACACATAAAAAGGAGCCCTGGTGGTGCAGTGGTTAAGTGCTCAACTGCTAACCAGCCGCTCCACGGTAGAAAGATGTGGCAGTCTGTTCCCATAAAGATTACAGCCTTGGAAACCATGTGGGGCAATTCTACCCTGTCCTATTGTGTCACTAGGAGTTGGAATTGACTTGAAGCAATGGGTTTGGTTTGGTTTTATACAAATAAAAACAAAATGAGTGGTCCTATGGCAGTTACAAACCAACAGTTTGTCAAGATAAATATTTTGCCTCTTAACACTACTCATGGAATGAAAAAAGCTCACATTGAACAGAAACTTCTGGCTTTGTTTCTCTTCCCCAATATTACCTCCTTGAGTAGTCCAGAGCCAGGTGAGTGACTGCTTCTGGTACAAGGTAGTTCAACACAAAGTGTTAAAAACAGGCATTTCAATAGGTAAGACAGTACACAATACTGAAGAAACCAACACAACTTATCTAAGGCAAGGTCATGAAAGCTCCAGAGACACATCCAAACTCCCTGAGGGACCAAACTACTGGGCTGAGGGCTGTGGGAACCATGGTCTCTGGGAACATCTAGCTCAATTGGCATAACACGGTTTATAAAAAAAAAAAAATTCTACATTCTACTTTGGTAAGTAGCATCTGGGGTCTTAAAAGCTTGTGAGCAGCCATCTAAGATACTCCACTGGTCTCACTCCATCCGGAGCAAGGGAGAATGAAGAAAACCAAAGACACAAGGGAAAGATTAGTCCAAATGACTAATGAACCACAAGTACAACAGCCTCCACCAGACTGTATCCAGTACAACTAGAAGATGCCTGGCTACCACCAACTGTTCTGACAGGGATCACAATAGAGGGTCCCGGACAGGGCTAGACAAAAATGTACAACAAACTAACTCACAAAAAAGAAAAAGACCAGACTTACTGGTCTGACTGGAAAAACCCGAGGAGTATGGCTCCCAGACACCCTTTTAGCTCAGTAATGAACCCACTCCTAAGGTCTACCCTTCAGCCAAAAATTAGACAGGCCCATAAAACAAAATGAGACTAAATGGACACACCAGCCCAGGGGCAAGGACGAGAAGGCAGGAGGTGACGGGAAAGCCGGTAACGGGTAACCTAAGGTCAAGAAGGGGAGAGTGTTGACATGTTATGGGGTTGGCAACCAATGTCACAAAACAATATGTATATTAATTGTTTAATGAGAAGCTAGTTTGCTCTGTAAACCTTCATTTAAAGTACAATTTAAAAAAAAAAAAAAAAAAAAACCAGGCATTTCAGTAGGATACAAGGCAATACCTAGAGGAGGGCCTAAAATAGAGAACTGCTATCTAAATAGAAAACTGCATAGAGGTAAGAATTTGAACTCTGCAGAAACTTAGAAAAGCATACTTTTAAAAGGCATACTACTTAGTAAATCCATGCGGTAGTCATAAAGGAGAAGAAAGCCTGGCTTCTCTATTGGCATCATGTACTTTTTAAAAAAGCTCATTAGTTAATTAGCAAAGAGAAATACAACCATCAAGCAGAGCAGAATGTTCACGCTGACAGACTAGTGCATTTTCTCCTCTGTGCGGAAGCAACACATATGGTCAAACTGAATTCAGAACCAGGGGAGTAAGCTGCAAAATCTCTAAACAGGGGCCTAACTGCCCAAGGGGCCAAATGCTCTAGTCCATACACCAGAGAATTCTCCCCCGGACTGTGTGTGCGTGTGTGGAAGGAGTGTTAACGCTCACCTCTATCTTCCACATCTGTGCTCTGAGGTTCCTCAGGTCAGGGCACCAAGCCTTTCTCCACATTACAATATACTTTATTAAATTCTGCTTACTAAATTATAAGCACTTTCTAGCCCTGCCTTTGACATTACACCCAGGTTGTCCCAGTTAAAAGTTCTCTGATCTCACAGCTTTGTTAACAAGTAAAAGGCCATTTCTTGGTTTGTTTCCATAGAGGGCTAATCACATTAATCAAGTGTAGGTGTTTCTGAAATCTAACATCCTGAGGCTGTCTGATTTTTTAGTTTCTTGTAAGCATCTCAGTGCTCTCACTTTGTATTGCAACCTATTCTTTCCAGAAGATATATGGCATAAAACCAAATATCCCAGGATAGAAGACTAGGTCTCTTTGCCATCATTCCTCTCATTCTTTTAATCATCCACACTAATTAAGAATGCTTTCTCAAACAGAAAATTTGGAATATACAGAAAGGTATAATAAAGAAAAATTCCTCTTAATCCCATCTCACAGATATAACTGTCAATATTTTGATAGGTTTACTTCCAGTCTCTTTTCCACATTTATACAGCCACACTGAGATCACCCAATATGCTTTTGTGTCTTACTTTTTTCTTAAATACTGTTTTATATATTGTATTTTAAAAATATAGTTACATGATTATATATTTTATACACTTCATATATCATATAAAGCATACTTAAAAATATAATTTTTTCTAAGAACATGCTGTTCAATGGTTACACAATATTCTGCAGCAAGGAAAAATGTGACCACATTTATTTAGCTATTCTTCTACTTTCATATAATTAGGTTGAATTCAATTTTTCAGTATCATAAATTACGCTGTAATATAAACATTTTTATGTAAATTGTGAGCATCGCTGATTAATTCTGTAGAACAAATTTCTAGAAGTAGAATGACTGGGTCAAACAGAAAGAACTTTTGTAGTATTTTTAAATCATCTTTTATAAAGGGTACAGCAATATCTACTCCAACCCATGGTATAGGAAAGACCTTGCTCACTTTTGCTTTTTCTTTTGTTCCAAATGCCGATCCCACTCCAAGTCAAGAACATCATTCACATCTTGGACAGCAAATTTCACATATTGATGAAGACGTCGAATTTCCTACAAGAAAAAAATTAAAAGACAAATACTCATTTTTTCCAGAAGCTTGGGGGAAGATATATCAAAACACTCAAAATAATTTTGAAATATTTTTAGATTGAGAACCATGATGAACAAGGAAAATATAATAGTTTTAAAAACAATCATTAAAATTTTATAATAAAACAAAAACAGTTTTAGAAAAGTCAACATCATTTATTGTGTGACAGGTGGTACAAAGAGAAGGGAAACAGAATGGGTGTGTCTGCCCAGGGCCTCTAGGGAACAAATGTTCTTGCTCAGTTCTCATTTTTCAGCTCCTGTAAAGTATCTCAACATGGTCGGGGAATTTTCCACTGCACTCTGGTACTCAGACAGTACATCTATTTAGTTTTTGCTCTCCTACGCATGAAATTAACTGTGATGAAACAAAACTATCCTACAAAACAGTGCTGAAAATAATTCTGAACATATCTATTCAGAGTGTAGAACATATAAGTCATCTCACCAGTTGAGAAATACTCGTTTCTTCTGAAAAACAAAGAATAGTATCTACACTAGAAGGTGAATTTACCATTATTAAAATTCCTACCTATTTAACTTATTTTAGGCCTAGAATAATCTTTAAATTTGCGTCAGTGTTAACCTTCATGGCTGTGCAACTTGACTCTAAGAAATTAAAAATAAAGATAAAGCAATCAGTTAGTATGCACACTCAAGTATGTGTGAAAGACAATGTGCTACACACTGGGAAAAGCTCTTTATATGTCTGTGCAAAGGTCTTATGGTATTTAAATGTACCGGCAGTCACCAATTTACAACAGGGTTCCCTTCCAATGACTCTGTTGTAAATTGGGTCGTGAGATGAATACCTTTTAAAAAAAAATTTTTTTAAGTTTTTGTCATGAATTGAATTGTGTCCCCGAAAAGTATCTGTCAACTTGGCTAGTCCATGATTCCCAGTATTGTGTGACTGTCCACCATTTTGTCATCTGATGTGATTTTCCTATGTGTTGTAAATCCTACCTGTATGATGTTAATGAGGTGGGATTAGCCCCAGTTATGTTAACGAGGCAGAACTTAATCTATAAGATTAAGTTATGTCTTAAACCAATCTCTTTTGAGATACAAAGAAAGAAGCCAGCAGAGAGACATGGCAACCTCATACAACCAAGAAGGTAGTGCCAGGAGAAGGTTGATGACAAGGACCTTCCTCCATAGCCAACAGAGAAAGCCTTCCCCTGGAGCTGACACCCTGAATTTGGACTTCTAGCCTACTAGACTGTGAGAAAATAAACTGTTGAAGCCATCCACTTGTGATATTTCTCTTACAGCAGCACTAGATAACTAAGACAGTTTTCATTATTATTGCCTTTTATTATCAGTATCTTTATAAATCCAATCTTTGAACATCTGCTCAAGTGAACACCTGAGAATAACATCAGCAAATTATGTACTGCAACACTGTAGGTAGTACATATTACTAATGATAAAATGTACAAAAAACAAACAAAAAAAGGGTCATAAGTGCGGTTCGTCGCAACTCGAACGTATCATAAATTGGGGACTACTCATACTTGCAAAATTATTTTGGATAAAGGTATATGTCCCAAATGAAAAAGAGAAACTCATTTAAAAAAAGCCAAGTTGATTCAAAGGAAGTAGCAGTAACCTTAGTACCACATATAAATTTTAACTAAATACTCGATGACTAGGTGAGGCTCTTTTCTTTGAACCCTCCAGATGTGATCATACCTTTGTGCATTAGCTGATGTTGTTTTTTCTTCATGGAATGCCCTCCTTCAGTGCAATGAATTGTTTTTATATGGCCTTTCTAGCCATGATCTCTTAACTCCCACAAAATGATTGTCTGGAACTATGCAAATAAACTTTGAGGAAGCAGCAATTGTCTTATTTTGAGTGCATTCCAACTGAGGGGCTCATTCATCTTCTGGCTCTATATCGGACAATGTTCCGCTGCTATTCATAACGTTTTCCCTGGCCAATTTTTTCAAAAGTAGACCGTCAGGTCCTTCTTCCTAGTTTGTCTTAGTCTGGAAGCTCTGCTGAAACCTGTCCCCCATAGGTGACCCTGCTGGTATTTGAAATACCAGTGGCATAGCTTCCAGTATCACAGCAAAACCCAAGCCACCACAGTATGAGAAACCGACAGACACGTGGCCTACTCCTCAAAGTAGAGTCGACCTTAATGACATGGATGGAATAAAGCTTTTGGGACCTTCATTTGCTGATATGTCACAACTCAAAATGAGAAGAAACAGCTGAAAACACCCATTAATAATTAAAACATGGAATGTATGAAGTATGAATCTAGGAAAATTGGAAATTGTCAAAAATGAAATGGAATGCGTAAAGATGGATATCCTAGGCACTAGTGAGCTGAAATGGACTGGTATTGGTCATTATGAATCAAATAATCATATGATCTACTATGGAATGACAAATTAAAGAGGAATGGTGTCACGATCATGATCAAAAAGAACATTTCAAGATCTATCCTGAAGTACAACGCTGTCAGTGATACGACAATATCCATATTCCTACAAGGAAGACCACTTAATACGACTATTATTCAAATTTACGCACCAACCACAAATGCCAAAGATGAAAAAACTGAAGACTTTTACCAACTTCTGTAGTCTGAAATTAATCAAGCATGCAATAAAGATGCACTGATAATTAAAGGTGTTTGGAATGCTAAACTTGGAAACAAAGAAGGATCAGTAGTCAGAAAATATGACCTTGGTGACAGAAATGACACTGGAAATCACATGACAGAATTTTGCAAGACCAATGACTTATTCATTGGAAATACCTTTTTTCAACAACACAAACAACGATTATACACATGGACCTCACCAGACGGAAAACAGAGAAATCAAATCAACTACATCTGTGGAAACAGACGATGGAAAAGCTCATTATTATCAGTAAGAACAAGGCCAGGGGCAAACTGTGAAACAGACCATCAATGGCTCATATGCAAGTTCAGGTTGAAGCTGAATATTAAAACAAGTCTATGACAGCCAAAATACAACCTTGAGTATATCCCACCTGAATCAGGAGATCATCTCAAGAAAGATCTGATGCACTGAACACTAATGACTGAAGACCAGATGAGTTGTGGGATGACATGAAGTATATTATACATGAAGAAAGAAAAAGGTCATTAAAAAGACAGGAAAGAAAGAAAAGACCAAAATGAATGTCAGAAGAGACTCTGAAACTTGCTCTTGAATGTAGAGTAGCTAAAGTGAAAGGAAGAAATGATGAAGTAAAAGAGCTGAACAGAAGATTTCAAAGGGCAGCTTGAGAAAACAAAGTAAAGTATTATAATTAAATGTGCAAAGACCCGAAGTTAGAAAAGGAAAAGGGAAGAACACGCTCAGCATTTCTCAAGGTGAAAGAACTGGAGAAAAAATTCAAGCCTTGATTTGCAACACTGAAAGATTCTAAGGACAAAATATTGAATGATGCAGGAAGCATAAAAAGATGGAAGAAATACAAAGAGTCACTGTACCAAAAAGAATTGGTCAACATTCAACCATTTCAGGAGGTAGCATATGATCAAGAACTAATGGTACTGAAGGAAGACAGTCCAAGATGCACTGAAGTCACTGGTGAAAAACAAGGCTCCAGGAACTGACAGAGTACCAACTGAGATGTTTCAACAACTGGATGCAGCACTGGAGGTGCTCACTTGTTTATGCCAAGAAATTTGGAAGGCAGCTAACTGGCCAACCGAATGGAAGAGATTCATATTTGTGTCCATTCGAAAGAAAGGTGATCCAACAGAATGAGGAAATAATTAAACAGTACCATTAATATTACATGCAAGTAAAATTTTGCTGAAGATAATTCAAAAATGATTGCAGCAGTACACTGACAGGAACTGCCAGAAATTCAAGCTGGATTCAGATGAGGATGCAGAATGAGGGATATCACTGCTGATGTCCAAGGGATCTTGGCTGAAAGCAGAGAATACTAGAAAGATATTTATCTGTGTTTTACTGACTATGCAAAGGCATTCGAATCTGTGGATCATAACAAATTATGGAAAACACTGTGAAGAATGAGAATTCCAGAACACTTAACTGTGCTCATGTGGAACCTGTACATGGACCAAGAGGCAGTTGTTTGAACAGAACAAACGGATACAGTGCAGTTTCAAATCAGGAAAGGTGTGCATCAGGGTTGTATCCTTACACCATACTTAAGTCTATCTATACGCTGAGCAAATAATCTGAGAAGCTGAACAATATAAAGAAGAATGGGGCATCAGGATTGGTGAAGACTCATTAGCAACCTGTGATATGCAGATGACACAACCTTGCTTGCTGAAAGTGAAGAGGACTTGAAGCACTTACTGATGAAGATCAAAGCCTATAGCCTTCAGTATGGATTAAATCTCAACATAAAGAAGACAAAAATGCTCACAAATGGACCAATAAGCAACATCATGATAAACGGAGAAGACTGAGGTTGTTAAGGGTTACATTTTACTTGGATCTATAATCAACACCCATCAAAGCAGCAGTCAAGAAATCAAAAGATGGGGGGCCAAGATGGTGGAGTAGTCAGATGCTTCTGGTGGACCCTCTTACAACAAAGACCCGAAAAAACAAGTGAATCAATTATATATGACAATCTAGGAGCCTGGAGTATCTAAGGCAAAGTTAATGAACCGGACAGAGTGGCAGGGGGAGGGAGAGATGGTTCAGAAGCAGCAAGGAGTTGCCAGACCTGACTCAGTGAGAGCATGAGCCCTTCAGGCCTGACCAGCTCATGGGTGAGCAGTGAGAAAGGCAAGCGGCAGTGCTCAGGAGCTGCGTTTTCCACAATGGGAGAGACCCAGCGCCAGAGAGTCTACTCGGCTACCCAGAACCAGTGAGAGGCAGCCCTGGATCAGCGAAAGATAAGTACTTGTGTATAGCCTACCACGCGGATCAAAAACACCTCCCTTAGGGAAAAACCCCTCTCCCCTTTACCACCCCACTCCC